GGAAAAGAATCCTGCCATTATTTTCAATTTCAGCCACATTATTCTCCCTTTATTATTATACTCCCTTTCAGATCTTTTGTGTTACTCTACAAAACCCAGTAATTTCTGACACTAACTTTGTATGGTTCTTTGATGCTGTGTTGGTGGAGTCTGTAAGTGGCACTATTTTGAACAGTTCAGTTTGAAAGAGAACAACCTGTATGTTAAACTGGACACAAATCTCTGGTACTTCCCCACTGTACTGAATGTTAAAATTAAATGTATAAGTGACAAAATGGTAATTCTAAGTTGATACTTAGAGTGTAGGATCTGTCATGTAAGGTTGAGCTAGGAATAGGTTGTAGACTGGTAATAAAAGTAGAGTAGCTCACAGCTGGTGTTAGACCATATGAAAAGGAGGCAGGATTGTCTGGTTTTACATTAGTTGTTGGGTCTGGGGGTTGCATAACACAAAAATTGCAGCCTTTAATTGCAGCAGAATAAAGTGAAGTTTTCAGCCATCATTTGAAGACAATTACATTGTTATAAAGATGCTTTGTATTAGTGTAACTGTTGCTCCATAGGTAACAGAATACTGATAAAAACACCTTCACACTGGTATTCACTACAGATATTAACTAGTGTTAGTATTTTGGATAAAAATAAAACCAGCCCATCACTAACCTACATAGTTTACAAATACAGGCTGAGACCAGTAAGAACCAAAAATTCCATCTTCTAATTAGGAGTTGCAGACTGTCCTCTGCAAAGGTAATGAAGATGAATTCCTGAGCATGGATCAGCAGAGGGCCTGAAGGGTGTTCATCTCTGTGCTGAGTTTGAGAGATACAATTATTTAGATTTTCACTTCTGTAAGAGATCAAAAGAGCACATGTGATGGAAGGCATGCTGCCTTAATTAAGGATGCCAAAAGCAGTTTAATTTATGAATTTATTGAATAAATGATATAACTTAAGCAAAAATTGTTATGCTTCCATCTAGAATATCCTTATAGAACTGATCAATGAAGAACATCTGTACAAAAATTGTGGAAAAACAAGGCACTGAAAAAAGCGAACATCCACGTGTTTTTGTTCAGCAGCAGGTGGCAGTAATAAGCCATGTTTTTCAAACTAAAAGTTAACAAGTTAAACAAGTTAAAACCTTAAGGTTTTTCTGTTTTTGCAGGGATTTCAATATTAGTGTTACTAACATTGAGATAAACAAAACAAAACCTCAGTGGCATAACTACTTCCTGTGTGGACTGAAAGGCATTCAGGTGAGCCAATCAATTTAATTTATTATTATATAATAATATATATAATTATATAGAATTAAAATATGACATGAATATTCACCCTCAAAACACTTCCCTGCATTATGTAGCTGTTCTTGATGTTAAGTATTTTATGTTAAAATTTGAAGAGGAGATGGGAGTGGGTTTATTTTAAAATATTGCCAGAGCACTATTTTCTATTTTAGTACATAAATGAAAATAGCAGTAAATTTAGTAAAGTCATTATCAAACTCATTATCAACATGACATTTCTGCTTCTTAATGGAAAAAAAAATTAAAAGTTTTGGAGGCTTTTCTGTCAGGACAGAAATATTGTATTTTAGTCCTTTTCTTCTTATGGAAAAATACCTACAACTGGTACAAAACAACTGGGAGAAGCTGACTCGTGCACTAGGCAAAAGAAGATGTAATAAAGAAGTAAACAGCATACAGAAGAAATATTCCAGTAAGAACCATTACTTATCTAGATTTTCAGTGTATGGAATTTGAATGGGATTTTCAAAATTTCCTGAGCTAAGAGTGCAGCTCTGCAGGAAGCAGCAAACTTACGGTAAAGGCAGGAACACTGAACAGCCAGACATTTTCCTGTCTGTTCATCTAAGCTTTATCTCCTCCTTTGTGAGCAAGCCTGTCTCCACTGACTTGACGCCTGAACTGCTCGTGCAACTAAATGCTGTTCATCTGTGTTGTCCTGGGAGGCAGCCTCAATTCACCTGAGGCTTCCTATAAATCTCACCTGCTGTTTGCAGATGATTCATGGCCCTTTGAGGAAAAAACATGGTGACTTCTCAGCTCAGTGTCAATCCAGTGATATTTCTGGAAGGACAGGTGGGATAAACAGGGATGGCTAGGTCAGGAATAGGTCACCACAGCCAGTCCAAATTATGGGTAAATGTGCTTTCTAAAGCACTTGAAGCTTGCCTCAGGATAGGCCATCTGGGTCACCCCACAGGACAATCCAATAGATAAGGACTGCAGACAGCCAACAAAGCCTGCCTCAAACCTGCCACCAGAGTCTTTAAAATACAGTATTTGGAACGATCAGTGCCACAAATTACTTTTATTACAGCCCACAGTTCCTAATCAGCCCCCCACCCCTATGTTTGGACCCCAATAAACTACTTACGTTTGCAGTAACGTATTTCCAATTTAGTATTGCTCGGTAACACAGGCAAGGCATTTAAATGGCATTGACTGTAGAAATATAGATTAGGTTTCTTCACAATATACCCTTTCTTATATTAAGACCAGCATGACCAATTGACTTTATTTATTTTGCAGTCTGCTACTGAGATTTGTTTCCTAAGGATAAGCTTTCATACTTGAAAGTTAATTTGCAAAGCAGGTTTGCAGACTCTAGCACTGGCAGAAAATAAGCATAAATGTTACAGACTTAAGAAACACTGAAATACAAGTACTTAGAGGGTCCAGCGGGATAATCTGTTTATATTAAGTTGAACATGCTATCCTTTTGGGACAGAACTATTGCAGAACTTGGCAAAGTCCATTTTCATTTTTGAAACTGAAGTACGTTTTCTATTTAAACATCGCGTGATAAGTTTGCAAGCCTGATTCGCATTCAAGACAATCCAGAAACTGTGGATCAGTTTCTGGTTACTCAAGCATTTTCTGTTTTTGAACAAGCCCATCTAGTGTTCTTCATGAGGAGGCATGGGCAGCAGTAGTATTTTAGGTATGAATTCCTTTATATTTGGAGAAAGGGAAATCTAAAATAATTTAAAGTGATGGTAGAAGACATTAAAAGAGGTTCGTTGTGTTTGCTGATCTCTGTTGTTGGTATCTATGGCTGAAGCTGTTTCAGGAAAAGTAGCAGTAATCTTCTGAAGGTGGGCATTTCTTTATGGAAACACTGACATTGTTTCTGATTATTGACATTGTAACATAATTTATTGACATATAAATCTGTATCAGAATGTAGCTATTCATATGCCCCCCCCATATACATTCAATGTTTTTTTAATAAGTACTGCATGTTTATTTCAAACTAACAACACATACATTTGTATTAAAGTGGTTATAAATAATAAGACAAAGTAAATGAAGAGTAATTAAAAGATTATGTACACAAGGTTTTATGACTTCTGGATTAAATGTATTATCTGTGATATCTATAATGTATTTTAAAATATTTTTAACTTTGTTCTAAAAATAGCATGACAGACACCATCCCCACTGGTAGGTGTGTCTTTGTGTTCCTAAAGCACAGTGTCCTTTAAGTACTATTGCCGTTCTGTCAGTGTCTGTCCTGTGGGTGCTTCAGGAGATAGAGGTATCTGGCTTTGAATACAGTTGCATGATTACTATTCCCCCATCAGCATGATATGGCTCCCTGAAACCACATGCCAGCATTAGAAGTGAAGCCTAAAGTGGACCCTCAGGATGCCTTAAGTGAGAAGCTGTGGAGGAAAGGACAAAAGTTGAGTATAAACTGATTGGTAATCTCTGGTACTGTCACCATGGCAGCTCAGAGCAGAGCCAATTGCTGCAAAACCCACCCACGAAGCTTGGTAAATTCTTGGGCGTTTAGCCCATACTGAATTCTACTTGGGGTGCAATTGTGTCAGCTCATATATGTTTGTGTACAGGAATTGCGGACATACCTTTGGCTGTAGCCCTACCATTGGCTTTGTTCTTAAGGAATAGAATGAAAATTTTGCTGTATTTTGGAGATACCAGAAGCAGGTTCTTGGTTCCAGCAGCTCAGCAGAAAGATTCTCTTTCTAAGTATCAGTTAATTGCAAGCCTGAGCCTGTCTGCACTTGAAACTGAGATTGTTTATTTTTTCATTGTTAGGAACATTTTGGTCTTAATAACCCAACTGGAATGAATTGTCTGCTAGATGGAACCATCCCTCCAAGTTCTGGTCTCTCTAGCTCCAGTGCTTTGGTGTGCTGTGCAGGACTCGTGACACTAAGAGCTAATGGAAAAACCCTCTCTAAGGTAATTTACTGTAAGAGACGAGAGTGTCAGCAGTAAAATTCTACTTAAAATTAAATATTGTTAATGCCTGTAAACATTAAAAACACGATACAATTGTTTTTGCAAAGAGTTGTTGGATATAAACTTAAGATATTGCACAATTGAGCAAACATCTTTGGCCAAATTTTGGCAGGATTTGAATTTGGCAAGAAAACAGGCTTACATTAAAACTGAAAAAAGGAGCATTATTATAAGCCTGTATTTTGGCCAACCATCAGGTCCATGCCTGGACCAGATGTGCTATCTGCAGGCCAGGACTGAGGATATATGTGCTGAAGCATGTGGACCACACCCCCGAGGCCTTTACCCTCTCCCTGAATGACTTTTCATGGCTTTAACAGCAGAGCATCTGTTGAAGGCCTGTGGAACAGTTTCTTGATAAATTATATAATCAGCACAAAGCAGAGGTAAAATTCTTCCATCTGACTCTCCTTATTCTCTTCACAGTTTTTTTTGAGTGAACATACCTACAATTCAAAATGTTTTCCTTGCTTTTTTAAACAAAAGTTAGGCTGAAAACAAACCCCAAGTATGTGACCTATTAGCAGTACAACTGTTAGTAGAATTTGGCTCATGTAATACGCATTTCTGGAGGAGTCATGGTCCTTGAAGGTGCCATGTGGGAATGAGGTTCTCTCCAGTAAAAATGCCTGGTTAAGTGAAACTAGGATCTTAAATTAGAACGTTTTCAGGAAGAGAAACGAACAGATCTAAATGTGACTGTTATGCATATTTGTGCCTATTGTCTAAGGCAGGCTTTCCCAAATTGTGGTACAAATCCAACTTAAAGTGGTACATGGTGCTGACAGCTGTTAACTGTGCTTGCACACAAGCACTTATCAGAGCCATGAGGTAAACAGATCCACACAGAAGGCTTTTGCTGGTCAGTTGTGACTTGCTTCTCTGCACAGCTGCAGGTGCAGCAACGCGCTTAGCAGCAAGGACTCCATCCCACATTGCACACCTCGAGGTGCTTGCTTCAGTAAGGCATTAAGCAGGGAGAAGGTGGAAAGAAGCAGGGCTGGTAAGGCAGGATGGCTTTCTTACACAGAAGGATGTGGCTACAGTTGCTGTCACCCTACTTTGTGTTGGTGTCCTGTGTGGTCAAAAGGTAAGTGAGGGATTGGACACTTAACCAAGGCTCTAGTTAGTGAGGTGAGACGTGTAGTGCAATAGTAGATGAAAACATGGAACTGATGAGAATTTGCAGGAAGAGGGTTGGAGGTGACAGACGTGCCTTTTATATGTGTGTGTCTGGCCTGGCAAAAAGCTTCTGGTTTTGGATAGGTGGTCTTACCAGAAGTCATCACCATCTCTGATGGTGGTAACCAAATGAGCTAAGCTTGGGAATGGCTGAGTGCATGTGTTCAGAAATGGGGTATCTGCAAAATTCATAAAACTGACAGAGGTCAGAAAGCCTAGATTTTACTAGGTAGTAGAAATCTGTATCTGGAAAACCAGAAGCCAGGTTTTCATTATTCCAAGAAATACTGCACAGCTTTCTTCAGAGAATAAATGGTACAGTGTGTACTTAGAGCTGAATTTACACATGGCTCAGGAGTACCAGCCAGCATTATGCCAGACCTGTCCTAAAGAAAGGTACAAAAATCCTTCTGGCATTTTCATAGAAACTTAGGGAGGAACAGAAGGAAGACAGAGGAAGACTCCACTGAATGTCTTTGCCTGTCCTCATGTGTCCTGTTCGATCAACTCAAAATCTCTTCTTGCTGTTGGAAAATGTGCTGAAAGTTAATTTTGTGTCTCAAATACAGTTGGACAAACACAAGAGACACAATTGCACATTTTTGTCAGGAAATCCTGCTGTCTGCAGCCAGATATTTTGTGTTTGTGATGAAAAATGAGCAATTAATGTACAGATGAGAATTCCTAATAGCCAATGTATGAACAGTTAAGATTGTATCCAAGGCTTTTTGTACTTGCATAGACCCAGGCACCTGGTTCTGGTGGTTGAGACAGAGGATGACAGCTCTGAAGACTGACTACTTTTGTCCAGGCACTAAGTTTCCCCAGATCTTACAGGAGATTAAAAACTAGTGCAGTGTTCTTAGCTAATTTATGATTTAGCATTAGAGACTTCTTATATCTAGCTAAATCCAGATTCTCTGTTGCACTGAATTTATGCTTAGCCTTGCAGAACTGCCATGTATGAGGCAGAGCTAGTCTGAGTATAAATTAGAGCAATCTAGGCATGTGAGCCCTCAGAAGTATAAAACGTGCTCTGGCCACTTCTTCCCAGCTCCTAATGCATCCTGTGCTGGTGTCAAATGGTATCTGTGCAGGATCCAGTAATGCCAGCTGTGTATCAGCTGGGAGCTCCCCATGGCAGGGGAATTCTTAGCTGACCAGAAATGAGGGGCTTTCCAGATCCTTTCTACTAGAAAGCAAACCAGGGCCTTGCATTTTTAGGGTTCTGGATATTTTTTGTGTTTGTTTATTTTTAAAGAAGAAATATAGCTTTACCCCTCCTCACTGACTTTTTTTTTTTTTTTTTTTTCCCCCAAAGGCTTAAGAGTTGCAAAAGTTGTAAATGGCAGTATTTATAAGTAGCAATATTTGGACATGGTGGTAATTTTATGAGAAAAAATTGCCTTTTTGTCCCTCATTGGTCTGGTGCACTTTGCACAATCTTAGCATGATGATCTGGAGCAGCAGGACATAGGAACTTGGGGCTTTGGAATAAAATTTGGCTGAATTGTAACGCTTCTGTAGCCAAAGTTATGAAAAATTGACCTTTTACTGAATAGAACATTTATCTGTTTTGTTTCCCTGAAACTATTTTTATGAGAATATTTGAGTTATATGCTCTTTTCCCTGATAAATGTAAGTTTAAAATAGTAGCTGTGGAGTAAAAGTTGTTGAAATTTAGAGCTTTTATGAGATAACACTTCCAGTGTGAAGTTTAGGCCTATGAGATTACGAGACAAAAAAAAAAAACACAACAAAATGAAAATATTGGAAAAGCATGGCTAGAATTTCATGGTGGCTTACTTTAAAAATAGCACTTCTTTGACACTGAAAAAAAAATCAGAAAAAAAATGCTGTCGCTAATTACTGTGTAGCAGGCTGCAATAGGGCATTGTTTCAGTGTGCATACAATTATTTTTTTTAAAAAACCCATCACACACATACACAATAGTTCAGGGAAAATACCAGTCCAAGACAATTCAGCCAGATGTGCAGTGCTAACCAGTTGCAGCAGTGCAAGAGCATTCAAATAACACGATGGAACATTTAGAATGCGATCTTTAAAAAGAATCCATTTTTCTCCTCCAAACAGGATACCAGCCTAAGACTGTGTTGGAATTGCTCAAAGAACAGCACTGCTCAGTGTTAGCTCTGGATTTTAAAGAGGTTTTTATTTTATTGTTACAAAATCAATCTTTTGTACAACTTTTCATCAGAAGATACTTTTTGTAAAGGAAACAGAATAATGCTCTAAATTGTCCCAGCTTTTTGTTTCATGGTAGGAATTAACGAGGACAGAAGATCAATTAGTACTTTTGAATAACTAGATCTACTTGAAAGATGTGATGATAGTGTTGCTGTCCAACTGTTACGTCGTGTGGTACTAAGTTCTGCTCAGTCACCCTAACATTTTTTCTGTTGCTGAAGGCGGGGCAGCTGTGTACATACTTGTTGGGAAAAACAGATCAAAAGTCAATAGGGTTTATTTAATTTAATGTGAAATGTTGAGCATAGGAAGTTGCATTATATTTGTCTCTATCTGGACTGCGAAAAATCTAAGTCAGACAGAATGATATATAAAAGACCTAAATCTAATCTGTAATGATGCTGTGTCCATTGTCTTCAATTTTCTCTAACTATGGTTTAGATGAACTTGAGTGTGGGATTTTCAAAACATTCAACACTGTCCTGTAGCTAAATAGTTACAATACCTGGAAATGTCATACTTTATCACTTCTTAATAATTTTTCTGGTGTGCAATAGGGCTTTAATATCTAGCTATGTGGCAAGAAAATCTGTAAGTATTCATATTGGTAGTGTGACTTGGAAATTAATAACGTGCTGATAATACTGGTTAGGATTCTTTTATAATATTGCTGCATGAAAAATGTTTGATAGACACTGCTCAGGATATTTATATGAGAAACTCAAATTGCTCGCACAAGTAATGGTACACAGATATTGTAGTATTGCTAATATTAAGAAATGTTAAAGTTCCTTTCTCCATGTGGAATTAAAACCCAGGGTTCTTTAACTTGTTCAGTTTGGCTATGTGTGTTTGTAATCAAGGGGAAACAGAGCACTTCGGAGCAGTGGTAATCAAAGGCTGTAATCTCTCATCAACCAAACGGATAACCTTCTATTTGAGCATGTTAAGAGGGCAGACAAAGTCAAGATAAGATGCTGTTCTTATGAGGACATCCAGATACTATCTGACAAATATTTTCCCATTTTGGAAAGGAGTAAGCATAATTACCTTGCAAAACATATATGAATTTTAGCTAATTGAGAGTTTGTATGCAAACTGGAAGCAGATGGTAACTTTCAGCAATCTATTCCTAGTCAAGACCAGATACTAAAAGTAAAGACATTCATGGTGGTAAAAATAACCTCAACATTTAAGCATAATTTAATACTTTAATCAACAAAACACAATGCCTTATCTTTCAGATGTTATTTTTGTACACACATACATATGTATAAAACATGTAAAGATTGAAAAAAAAAATCACCATCTAATAAGATTCTTAATTTTACTTACGTGGAGAATATTTTCTTCTTACAGTAAAATACTAATCGTTATAAATAGCTCTTCTCCTTTTTCAGTCCTGTGTGCTGTGAACCAAACCCTGTAGAATTTCACAGAAAATCCACACTAAATTTGCCATAAAATTACGAACATTATTTGTTGTAAAGGGAAGCAGCAGGCTGAGCCTGACTTTTCAGATTAAACTGGCCAGAATGTTAATGAACAT